TGAAGCTATTTTATCTTCTGTGACTTTTCAGGGTTGATCTTATCAGGTTGACTTCCCAGAAAAAAATCACAATGACATCTTCCAAGAAATCCAGTGGAAATAATTGGATTACTGTATATGTCATGTGTGAAGACTGGTTTAAAAAAATACAGTTATATTCTAGCTAAATTTTAGTTCTATTACCAGCATTAAGTTAATTTTTTAAAAGTATAAATCTAAAAAATAAAAAAGAAACAAAAGTAGAAATCTAATGTATCTCAGTCAGAAAGACTATAATTATAAAGAAATCTAAGGAAGTACAACTGTCTTAGAAGTGATTATAGGAACACAGTTGTTGATGTTGGCTAAAGACCCTATTCTATTTAGTCAGACTGTGCAAGCATGTCAATCAAAATAAACATCTATGCCCAAGCAATGTTGAAAATTCAGAAACACAGGATGATAAGGAGACCCACCACCATGAGAGTTAAGCCAAAGAGCTTAACGAGAAAAACAGTTGCATAATTCAAAACAAAATTAAAAGAAAAATAAGCTGCAGGCATGTTGTACGTTTCCACCTCAAATGAGCATCTCTGAAGCTGTGGGTGGTGACCATTTGGGCACAGGACCAGTTTGTCAGTCTTGACCAACATGGAACACAAAACAGAAGAGCTTCCACATCAAGGTGGTAGATGGAAGTACACATCTGATAGCTTCTACTCCAAACTCAACTAAAACTGCAGTAAAGGAATTTAAACATACAAATACACACACACAAACCCACAACAACCAGGAAAATAGGCATCAGTCCCAACAAAATTTGGGAAGCTGGAAAGTATATGGACGAGTGGCAAAGGATTGAAGACCTAAAGAAAGCTGAGTCTAGGCCAGCAGCGGGGAAAGCTGAGAAGGGATGAGTTACGCAGCAGACTCCTCCAAAGATGCAGGTGCTGACACCACCAGATGCTGCCGTTGTCCCAAAGAAGGAGAAGGCCTCTGAACTAAGCAGGATAGGGTAAAAGGTGTTCAAGATACAAATGGATCTCTGTCCCCACTGCAACCTCATGTCCTCACTCAACAGATATCGGGATGCTTTTCGAGAGGGTAAGAAAGAGGGTCTCTAGACTGGCATAGTTGGGCTCAGGTATAACCAGAAACAGATGAGGTGACCATCTGCACACCACAGCCCCCACCCCCTCCCCACTCAGCTCCTAGGTGCTGACACTAGACACCTCTACTCTGCAGTCTGGGAGATTTTTCTCTAGGAAACCAGACAAACCAAGAAAAAGACCTTAAGACACTGACCTCAGGGGTCCCTCAACTAACAGCTCACCCAGATACTCCATAGTAAAAGAACCTCTGAGTCCATCCACTTAGGCAAAGATTCCAATCAGTATTTCCATCTCTCCTCTCTTAATCATGAATAACTGGTTAATGGGCATTTGAGGAAAGCCTCTAATATGAATATATAGACCAAAATAAACAGATTAGAGAAAGTTGGAAGAAATCTGGATTCTGTGGATTCTTCAAAAACTTAAAAAAGATTTTTTTGAGAGATATTCCATTCATAAAAGAAAAACATGTTATTTAAACAGGAACCTTTAGAAAATTTTTAAAAAACCTCTTGTAAATTAAAAAATATGATAGTAGGGGAAAAAATCAAAGAAAGAATGGAAGACAAAGTTGAAACAAAGTAACAGAGATGGAAAAATAGGACAGAATAAAACAAAAGGGAAGGTCAGTAGAACCTCTAACGGTAGGAGTTCCAGAAAGAGAAATCACAAAAACAAAAAACAGAGGGGAAGCAATTACTATATCAATGAAATCATTACATCCCCCAGGACTAAAAAAGATTTTGATTGAAAGAGTTCACAGAGTGCTAAGCACACAGGGTGGAAACATACGCTCACCAAGGCACAACCTCATGAACCACTGGAGGAAAAATAAGGTTCTAAGAGTTACAAGAAAGGAAAAGAAACTGGCCACATATAATATAAAGGGCTGCTAGAAGACCATAGGCCAATGCCTTTAAAATTCTGAATGATAATGACATCCAATACATGCTATTCAACTATCGATGGGAAAAGAGAATAAAGACATTTTCAGACATTTAAGATCTCAAAACTTTTACCTCTCACACATGTGTATACGTAATGTACTTGAGTATGCATGCCACCAAAAAGAAGGCACCAATCAAAAAAGGGAATACACAGGACACAGGAAATCTGGCATAAGAGGCAAAGGGAATCATCAGGATGGTGATATGCACCAGCTAGAGAGGGCAACTAGCCCAGGCTGGACAGGGAGCCGGGGCTCCACAGCTGTACCAACCTTGCCCTCACGGTGAACCGACAGGTGTAGGGAAAATCAATGGAATGATCACGTTTACTGACGGGAGTCACAGGGGCTTCGTGTATAGGGCTGAGACCATAAGGATGTTATGCTCCAAACACAAATGGCTTAAACAAAAGCTTCATGATTCTTTCAAATATTATCTTAGCAAGGGAATTGTTTCCTAAAACTGAAATGCAGAAATAAAAAATCTCCCTGAATTCTATATAGTCTCACATACTTCTATATATAGACATACAGGAAGCTGGTAACAGCAGCAGTCTTTAAGGCAGGTGGGTTGTGGTTTCTTGGGAAAAAGATAAGGAGACTGACTTTTCACCACTCACTCTTTTATTTTTTTTTACTTGTGTACTGCAAGTAGTAATTATTCTAAAATGAATTAAAATATATTCCCTAATTAAAACAAGAATGCAATTAAAAAGATATGAACATCATACATAGTGAGGGAAAGTTTTATGAAACGTAAATATATAAAACTATTTAATACACATATATTAATGTTCACTATAAATATTTAAGGGGTTATGATGGAAAGTATTTCTTACTGTAGGTTGCAATGAAGTTTGAAAGCGGTAAACAAAGTAATTCTGTAATTGTAAAAACCTGCTTTCCTGCAATACTTACTGAGCATCCACTGGGTCTTGGGCACTCCCAGATCTAAGATGTGTGTGAACTAGTGGGTGGATATGCACACAGAGTGAGAACACACCCCGCTGGTGTCAGTGTTCCAGGTGCAGTGCCCCCTCCTCTGTAACTGCAGTGTTAGGGAGGCTCCGGCTTCGTATGAGCACGCCACTATGGGGAAACTTTGAAAAAAATAAAGATGACAAAACATCGCTGTTACAACATTTTTTAATTTTAAGGAAATATTATTCTAAGACAAAAATATTATCAATAATATCATACGTTTATTCCAATATTTTAAAATATCTTCTGTAACATTCCACTCAGAAGGTAGAAAACCACAAAGTTCTTCCATAAGGAAGGGTGCAAATGGAATGTAATATTGCATTACTGTACTATATAGAATACAAACTGTGAAGACAAGGAAATTCAATGATTCCATTTTTTCCTCCTAGATCATTTTTGCTGAAGAACTGCTCACTTCACATCCTGGGAGCTGTCTTGTCGAGATTTGCCACCACGATGTGGGAGCAGCAAACCTTTACCAGTTAGCATAACGAATGTGACGCTGCCCACACCCATCCTGTGGGAGAGCTAAAAGAACAAACTCTTAGCATCACACGCCAATCAACCTATCAGAGAAATCACACACAATTACTTCTGGCAAAATCCTCCAACTTAATTTTTAAATAGCTAAAATATAATCAAGGTATACATATGGGCAGGTACCTGGAACTACGAACATACCCTGTCCACAAATGTTCAGTTTTATACCAAGAGCACCCTGGGACAGTCAAGGGCACAACCACATTTTTAAAAATCAAGAGTAAGCAGTAAACACAAAAGGGCATTTGCACAAGGCACAGAATCCTGTTTCTTAGTAGTGGACAGAAAACAACTGGCTAAAGAAATAGGTTCATAGAGGGTACAATCTAGAATTCGATTCTGAGTATAAATCTTGAAGACATTTACATTAGTAGTTTCTTACACAAGTTTTTTTAAAAAAAGCTACCAAAAAACCCAAATCATACTTCCTTTATTAGCCACTTTAATAACCACTTTTATCCCTTAATGACTTTACTTCAAGGTTGGTTAGTACAATCATGAGACTGTGTAGCCTAGTGGAGTAGGGAAAATTTTCTGGTTGCAAGACGATACCTTGCTATGGAGCCATTATTAAGCTCCAAGTGAACCCTGAATTAGACATACAAATTGGTGAAACGATCTATTTCTAAAAATGTGAATAACAGGAGACTTAAGGCAGATGGTGACTCCAAGAAGAGTCACTCAAGTACTAAAATGGCACCCTGGTAATGGCTCATAGCAAAACCTAATTTTCTATTAGGTTCATCAAATAGGTGATACTGAGTCAGCAGAAAACAGATGGGGGGCTGCATGGGTCCACCACACCGAGGCAACTGTCCTCTTATGGATCCCATAGGAGGAAAATGATTTTTGGTGCCATGTGGCTTGTACTTATCCCCAGCAAGACAGTGTAGTTCCCTCAACCCCATTTTGTGTCTGGGAGAAGACAGTCAAAATATTTCCACAAGAGGTAAAGACTACAAGGAAGCTACAAGCTCACTGTGGAAAGGTGAGAAAATGTCATGGTAAAGGAGCACCACATGTTGATTTTAACAGCTTTTTTAACTGGAGGACCATTTGTCATGTATACACCACAGAAAAACTGCCCCCAGACCCCCCAAAAAAGGTCATGCAGAAAAATCAGATTCCTAATAGAAAAGAAAGTATACATCCAAAGTAGGTAAAAACATGGTTTGAAAAAAACATGCAAAATATTTTCACTATGAAATGCATGTGACTTAGTACCTATTTCATATTAACAAGATCCAATTGCTCTGATAAATCTCTATTATGTTTTAGAATATCTATTTTTTTTTTTTTTTGAGACAGAGTCTCACTGTGTTGCCCGGGCTAGAGTGCCATGGCGTCATCCTAGCTCACAGCAACCTCAAACTCCTGCGCTCAAGCAATCCTTCTGCCTCAGCCTCCCAGAGAGCTAGGATTACAGGCATGAGCCACCGCGCCCGGCCTAGAATATCTATTTTTTAAAAATATCTATTTTCCAGCCAGAACGTAAAACTTACATTTGTGCATCCACATGTAAACTATCTTGCTTGGTATCACGAAGCCAAGATACTAAAAGATCAATGAAATAGTTTTTAAAAATCTCTAGTCACAGACTAACAAATAATATATTTCTTCAAGTTTTCTGGGCTACATTACTAACTTGTATTAATGCAATCTGAATTTTCAGATTTAAATACCAGTCAATGGTTGGTTGTCAAAACTTAAAAGCCACAGGGTTGGGAGGACCTTCAGAATACTGGCTACTAAATCATAAATAAAATTATTCTTAGAACTGGACCATAGTAAGTGGAATGTCCTAACTTCGCTTAGTTCAAACTCTGCAAGTTGACGCTAACATTCATAATCAGGCCCTTTTATGTGCTTTAAGTAGATATACTGACTTTGCGGTCTATACTTTGTAAGAGAGCAGGTAACTCTAGCACAGAAGAAACTATATAATGTGGAACAGGGGCGGACTTCAGCGGCACTATTCCATTTTTATTGATCCAGACTGTTGCTTTCAGCCCTGCGTTGAGGCCTCCTTGTATGTCGGTTTCTAATGTGTCACCGACCATCACACAGTCCCCAGGTTGGACCCCGAGGAGATTGCAGCAGTAATAAAATATGGACGGTGCTGGCTTCTCCTCTCTCTGCTCTCCACCTATGACGACGGCATCAAAATAGGACTGACAGGCACAAGCTTCGATCTTCTCCCTCTGGGTCTGTCTGTCCCCATTCGTTAATAAAAGTAGGCGGACCTCCTTTCGAAGTTCAGTGAGCATGGCTTTGACATCTTCTGCTAGTGTCATATGCTGTAAACGTGTAGATTTCCACAGGAAATAACATTCTTCGGCCAATTTCCTATTGGCTGCACCACCTTTTGTTTCCTGGATTGCTTCTTCCCAGTGTGCAGTCCTTAGGTCAGTAATGCATGTATTGTAAGGATGAAAACATTCCTTGCTGAGTTTAACTTGAACTTTATCACAGATGATTTCAGCCTCTTCTTTATAATGGTATTTTGACTGCAAGAGCTTTATCACCTAAATAAAGGAAAATAAATCCATTAACATACTTCATGTCTTTAATAGTCATGTCCTAGGAAGCTGTGATCCTATAGATGGCTGAGAGATTCTAACTCCACTCCTCTGCCCTGAAGCAGCTCTATTCACCACACCATTTCTGGAGTTCAGAGACACAGAGTGAAGCTCTCCCAATCTCGCTAGGTAATTCATTCACATTTTAAAAATCAGTTTCTTTTCTTTTTTCTTTAGAGACAGAGTCTCCCTCTGTTGCCTGGGCTAGAGTGCAGTGGAGTCATCATAGCTCACTGCAACCTCAAACTCCTGGGCTCAAGGAATCTTCCTACCTCAGCCTCCCAAGTAGCTGGGACTACAGGTGTGCACCACCAAGCCCAGCTAATTTTTTCTATTTTTGGTAGAGACAGGCTCTCGATTTTGCTCAGGCTGGTCTCAAACTCCTGGCCTCAAGCGATCCTCTGCCTTGGCCTCCCAGAGTGCTAGGATTACAGGCATGAGTCAGCGTGCCCTAAAATCAGTGTCTATTCTAAGAAGATTCTTCCTACATAGCTAATAACAATCCTTCATTTGGCAGTTTAAAGTCCAACATTTTTCATTCTGGTTATGAAGACATGAAAATAAAACTTCTGTTTAGTAAAACATTTTAAATTTCTGACAATCATTATTTACTCTTCCCAGAAAAAAATAACACTAGTTTATCTAACCTTTTCTCATTTACTAAATCCAGTTCACATTTTGAAGACCCATATTGACCATCACATAAAATGGAACCCAATTCTGTACTTTTAAAAACTAGTTCTTTGGATAAAAGATTTCAAGTAGTTCTGAGACACCCTCTTTGTCATGCCGATTGTGAATCCCTCATGAGAATGAAGAATTCTTAGGCACTGGAGACTGGCCTTTGTACAGGAGCATTATCTGGTGGGGAAAACATGCAGCTCCGCAACCACAAATCCACAAATGCTGGGGTAGTGCCATAACAGTTGTGTGCACGAGCTGCGGGAGTGAAGTGGAAGTCATCCCATAGGGTAGTTGGATAAGGGTTGGCAGAGGAAGTGACATTTAAACCAAGAAGTTAACAAGCAGAAAAGGTGGGGATGAGAGTAGAATAAATCATTCCAGACAGAAAGAACAGCATGAACAAAGACAAAGAGCTTGACGTTTTGTGAACTGGAAAAAGCAGCTGAGTTGAGTCAAATGGAGGCACGTGAGGGAGGAGGCTAGGATAAGGCTGCAGAGCCTGTCTGGAACCAGTTTGTAAAAGGCCTGGAACCCCACGCTGTAGCAGATCCTAAATCCCCCTGGCATACACTGTTCACACATACGCCAGTGGCTTCATACTGCAAGTGTGGGCCTCCCTGCTGGTGGGCTTTATTTGGCTACACGGGCACTAGAGCACAGACTGGGGCTCAAACTGTTGCCTGGGAGCAGCCCCCAACCAATGAAGGGTGGAAATTGATGGATAAATATCATACCTTTCTTGCCCCTTACAGGGGACACTTGAACCCTGTTCTGTGTACTGTCTCCCAGAGACCCCTGACTGCTCGCACCAGGAACCTGCTCATGGACACATCCTGTGTTAGGTTCCTTCCTCTCCTGTCTCAGCTGCCTGCCCCCTGCAGTGCTCCTTAGGAACACCTCCCAAATGAATCCTGCACTTGAAGTCCCTGTCCTAGTGTGCACCCAAGGAAGGCCAACCATGCCAGACAATGCTGGATCTTCAGAGATGAGCACAATGCATACAGCTGGACTAAAAAATGTGTGCTGTTGAAGCAAAGCAGTCAGGTAAGTAAAAATATGTTGCCACAAACTATATGGGGTATCAGTGGTATGCTACCCATGCCAGAAACTCAACTCACCTACTGAGAAGGAGAAAGAGATAAACGCACAACACATTCTTCTTCCCTCAAAGTGTAAGAATCACTTACAACAAAGGAAAGGGAAATATTTTTTGGACTATTTGTGCTAATCAGAACATGTAACAGTTAAGAAAAATCTTATTAGCTCAAGAAAAATATACCAGTCCTAAGAATTTTAAGTGGAGGCAAACCACTGAAAATTTTTGCTCCATAAAGTTAAATTGCAATTAACGAATCAAGTTTTTTTGAGCTCCATGGTTATGCCACCATTTTTTCTAACAACATCAATTGAATGACTCTTCAGCTATGGCGGATAGGCACTCTAAAGTTTCAGCAACCCTACAGCTACACAGAAAAAGGACACAAAGCCAGGTATGCTGGCACATACCTGTAGTCCCAGCTAGAGGCTGAGGCGGGAGGATCGCTTGAGCACAGAATTCAAGGTTGCAGTGATTGTACCACTGCATTCCAGGCTGGGTGACAGAGTGAGACCCCATCTCTTAAAAAAAGAGAGAGACAGAGAGAGAGAGAGAAAGAAAGAGAAAGGACACAAGCCTCTAGGACTCCACAATGCTTGAGCTCAAACAGGAGCTGGCTCATAACTAGTAAACAGAGAGCTTCCAATAAAGATCTGATTTCCTATTACTGCAAATGGCACTACATTAAGCACATTCATGGGGCTCTGAAAGGGCAGGATTAGCTCACCTTAAAGAGGAGATGTTTGTAAAGGCAGGGCACACTGCTCCCAAGTTTCAAAATCTCTTCCTGTTACATCCCTTGAATTAACTTTCGCATTTTGTCAAACAGCATCTAATTACACATTTGTTCAGGACACTAAGTAGCACTCAAATAGTAGTAATACCTTCAGGATAAGAATTTATCATTCTCTTATTATTAGTTCAAACAGAAATAACACCTTTGTTGAATTAATACATGTTACTACAAACTCTCATAATACCTGCACTGAGAGAATGGGAGTTTTGATTGAATCGGGGGTGGTGGAAAAGCTCTCTAATTTGGAGGTGTGATGACATCATTGTGCGCAAGAGGCAGGCAGGCTTGAAAAGAAATCTGGTAAAATGAGCCCACCAGGTACTTGTAGGCCTGAAAAAAGGGGCCCTACTTTGATAGACAGAGGGTGTCAGTTTGTAGACAATATAAACTCAAAACTTCATCTACTTTAAAACATTATTTTAGGCTGGGCATGGTGGCTCCTGCCTGTAATCCTAGCACTCTGGGAGGCTGAGACAGGAGGATTGCTGGAGGTCAGGAGTTCGAGACCAGCCTGAGCAAGAGTGAGACCCTGTCTCTACTAAAAATAGAAAGAAATTAGCCGGATAACTAAAAAAAAATATATAGAAAAAATTAGCCAGGCATGGTGGCACGTGCCTGTAGTCCCAGCTACTCGGGAGGCTGAGGCAGTAGGATTCCTTGGGCCCAAGAGTTTGAGGTTGTTGTGAGTGAGGCTGATGCCACGGCACTCGAGCATGGGCAACAGAGTGAGATTCTGTCTCAAAAAAAAAACAAAAACAAAAACATTATTTTAAGGTTCTTGCTGAACATATACAAAAAGCAAACTCCATTCTTCTATTTGCTGCTTCCTGGACTCAGAACTAAAGTTAATATCATCAATACTAAAGTTTAGCTAACTGATTTTAAAAGATTTTTTGAGGGCTAGTTTGAGAACCTTATAATAGTTCATAACACTTTAAGAAAAGTATTTTTTGAGTATCAATTACTTGGATGTGAAAGGGCTAAATTCCAAATAAGAGTAATTTAAAAGTACATGCTCACAAAAATATGTGGACTGCCTGCACACAGCCTAGCAATTCGAGCAGCCCTTCTGTTACTTTTAGTTCAAATCTGTGCTCAAACATCACCTACTCAATGAGGCCAAATCTGACCAATCTATTTAAAATTGTACTTCACTCCCCCTACTTCTTCTAACACACCTATCAATATAAACATATTTGATTTATTACTGTCATCCCCACTAGGAAGTAGACTCACAAATGCAGAAATCTTTTTTTTTTGAGTCTCAATGTGTTGCTCAGGCTGGTCTTGAACTCTTGGGCTCAAGCCATCCTCCCACCTCAGCCTACTGAGTAGCTGGGATTATAGGCATGCACCGCCATGCTTAGCTCAGAAATCTTTTCTGCTTTGTTCACTGAGAAACTCAAGTTTCTGCAGAAGACTTCCTCTTGAGTAGTGACAATGAAAGACAGGCCTGAAGGGGGAGGAAAGAAATAATGTTCCCAGGTGATTAAAAAAAAAATTAAAGTTGACATATACACTCAGTATATGACCCCCTTCTCCCCAAGACAAGGCAATGGCTGGACCTTACCCCATTTCTCCTTTCATAAACCATTCAAAATGACTTATGAAAGCTGGCACATTACTTTCAAACAGGTCAACATTTACGACTGGTGACGTATCCCTACGTGATAAAGTATTCCTTGTATAGTCAAAAGCACACAGCTCCATTCTGCTCATTTCATAGGCTATTTACAAAGGAGGCAGTAACAGAACCTAGTCTGGAGGTAAGAATTTTTATCCATCCATCCAGCATTCATTCAACATTTACTACATGTCAGACAAAGACAGTTAACATAGCTTGTTCTCTCCCAAGAAGCTATTTGGTTGCAAAAATTAATTGTAATATCCTTTAATAGGTGCATTAAGAAATATCTGAACAAAATACAGCACTGGTATAAGAGAGTGTAAAGAACAGGAAGAAACACAATCTAATTTTTGTGTTAGAAATATCACTGTCTCACTGTGGCAGGAATGTGGAGGATGAACTGGATGTGGTATACCTGGAGATAAGACCACAGCAGCAGTCCAGGTGAGAGATGAGTCCAGCTGAAACTGAGATATGAGTGCGGGGATGTGCAGTGCAGGACAGACTAGGTGTTAGCATGGAAGGTGGTATGATTCACACTGAGTGAACACTGGACGCATGTACTTCCTTGGCAACATATTAAACCTAGGCTGGGTGTGGCTGGCATGGGCCTGTGATCCCAGCTCTTTGGGAGGCTGGTGCCCGAGGATTGCTTGAGCCCAGGAGTTCAAGGTTACAGTGAGCTATGATCGTGCCATTACACTCCAGTCTAGGTGACAGAGTGAGACCCTGTCACAAAACAAACAAACAAACAAACAAACAAAAATGGCAAAAAACCCCAACCAATAAAGCAAAAAAAAAAAAAACTATATTAAACCTACCTGATAATGTTACTGAGGACTAATACCATTATTCAAATTTTATGAGGATTTAAGGCTTAGAGTGGCTAAGGAACATATTAAGGCTCTTTCAGCTAGGTTTTCGGGAGAGCTGTGATTCAAACTCAAATGTCTAATTCTAAAGCCTGAACTCTTGGCCCAAAGCAAGAATTTAATACTAACACACTGTGCTTAGCTTACTAAAAGCACCCAGGTAAACACGTACCGTTGGGAGCTAGAGACACTGGAGACAATACAGCACAGGGTGGTGGCCCTGAGTCAAGGTCAAGGGCATGAAGATGGAAGGGATAGTCAAAAGTGTGGAAAACCTCAGTAAGGTCATAAAAACAAACTGAAAATGTCCACTGATTTTGGCAATTTGGGAGGCGCCTACAGACCTGGCAAATTTATATCATTCTAGTGGTGAAGACAGAGTCATACTGCGATGGATTTAGGAATAAATAGGAGACAGAGAACAAGGAGATAATGGGTATAGGTTTCTCCTGAAAGACATGGCTCTCAGAAGAGACAGGCAACATCTTGCACAGGAAGAGTCCAAGGGAGATAGTCTTTTTAATTTTTAAAAAACATGGGACAAATATGAATATGAAGCAGAAGTGGAATGCACCAAAAAAAATAGGATGGAAGAAAAAGAGGTGGAAGATCCAAGGAGACAAAAATTAACTGACGAAGCATAAGAAGGAGGGACACTCAGGGCTGGAAGGATTAGCTTTTGAAAGAGGAGATTTTCTGGTAGAGGGGTGAGCAATCACAGATTACCTATCAGGTACAACGTACACTATTTGGGTGATGGCTACACTAAAAGCACTGACTCCACCACTACACAATTCATTCACGTATCAAAAAACCACTTGTACCTCCCAAATCTACTGAAATTAAAAAATAAATAAATTTAAAAAGAAAGTGGAGTTTTTCACATCTGGTAAGTCTTTCGTTTTCTCCTCGAGGCTGAAGGCAAAGGAAGGGAAGCGGGGTGGATTAGGGGCTTGAGAAGCATGGGAAAGTCTCAAAACAGCATCCACAGGTACAGAAAGGAGAAGAGGCTGCTGAGCAACGCCTCATGGAAGGAATACTCCGTGTAGCACGGACTTATGCTGTGTTACCTCGGAAAGATACCGAGAGTCCCAGCCACACCAGGGAGGCCAGAGGAAGTTCTACTGAGAAAATTCTCTGAAGCAGGGTTTAAGTCCAGGCTCGCCACTGATGGTGTGTCACTGCTAGGGTCAAAACTGGGGCTAACCCTTCCAAGTCTCCGCAAAGATCCACCGAGACCACGCGGTGGGGAGACGACCCTCCCACGAGTCCGACACCGAGAGCACTCGTACTGGCCGGTCCAAAGCTGTCCCGGCCCAGAGCTGGTTCTCGTGCCATGGTGTGACGGTCTACCTGTGCGTGTGGGCAGCTCGTCCACCGTGGCAGCTTTAAGGACCTTCCAGGTCCCAAGCGCTGGAGGATCTGCAGAAGCCACCTCCCAGAGCCCGGTAGCTCCGCAGGTGAGCTGAGGCGCCAAGGACAAGGGCCGCAGCCTCCCCCGCCCACGCTCGCTAGTCTACTCGCCCCTTTCCCGCCCCTGCCCGCACCCGGACCGCTCCCGAGGCCTCGGGGCACTGGAGCGGCCAGTGCCTCCAGGGTCCGAGGAGCGCGAGTGGGGGACGCGAAGCGCGCGGCACGGGGTGGGCCGTGCTGACTGAGCCCGGAGGAGGGTCGCGGGAGAGGGGACGTTACCTCTAACATGCCTCTTCTGCTCGCCCCGGCCGTGTCGATGAGCGTGTTGTCCAGGTCAAAGAAAACCGCTCGCACGCGACTCAGCCCCATCGCGCCGGCCGCCCGCACTACCCGCCACCTCGCAGACACCGCCTGCGCTTGCGCGAGGCGGGCGGCTGGCAAGGCGAGGGTGGAGCCGTGAGGTCACCTGACCCTCTCGCGGCGCCTGCCAGCTGCCGCGGCCTCCCTTTGTATCCTCGCGGGAACTGCCGCGAATTGTGTAATTCCCTGAGTTTCTGAGAACAGCGAGATCCCGCGAGACTCCGGGGCCCTGCTCTATAAAGTGCATGGGTGGGGAGCGTCTGCGTCATGGAGTGCTCAGTTATCTGAGCAGCTTGCGGGCGGGGTTGGGTGAGAAGCGCGGTTTTCGTCCTTTGTGACCTCTGCTTATCCCTTCTCACTCTGCTCTCCCTGCTAACCATGGGAGATTTTCCGCGCGGTCCAGCTCCTGGGAGGGTCCCTAAGAAGCTGGCTCTTCCGGTTAGGCAGGGTGTTAGCGCCCGCGGAGCAGCTGGCAGCTCCTAAATGTGGTTGGTTCTTTGCTAGCCCTAAGTCGGGTGTGTGTGTCTCTCTGTCCAGGTCTAGTGTCCTAAGGCTGTCTGTACTGGCCAGGTCACTGTTAGTAGCAGGAGCGCTAGGGGGCTGCAAAGTTGTGAGAGCCTGGGTTTTCAAATCTTATTTAACAGCTAATACACGGGCTGTGTTTTCCAAGCGCGGAAACTTACCATCTTGCGTCCTAATGTCTTTACATTAGAATGGTAGCCTTGTTAGAGCTGGAGCCCACATCAGTGCGTTTTTGAAAGGTGTAACCTGTATCTCTTACCAGCCCTTATTTGACAGCGATGCCTTGAGACGGAGGGGCTATGTAGTGTCTGTCCGATGTTTTGTCCACCTCGATTGCGTTTCCTGAAACCTTGCATTCTCATACCTCTGGATACCATTTAATCGGTTGGTTTTCAGGTATAGCAAGGGACTGAGGGACCTGGCTAGTCTAGTAAACCGCCAGAAGGCGGTAACAACTATTTGTCGTCTACTGCTAGCAGAACAAGGATCATGAAAATAACCTCTAATCTTTTTTGTGTCTGTTGGATAACTTTACTGAAATTTGGATATGTGGTCATGATCAGTGACCACAAATTGTCTGGTAGGTGGGTCAGTACCAATTTGTCCTGTCACCTGATTTTGTTTAGACTGCCAGCTACGAGTGGTTTTTACATATTTAGAGGGGTGAAAAAAAATCAAAAGATAGTATTTCATTACACATGAAAATCATGAAATTCAAGTTTTAGTGGCCATAGTTTTATTGGAACACATCCCACTCATTCATTTCTGTGTTGTCTATTGCTACTTTTGACCTACAATGGCAGAGTTGAATAATTACAAGAGGCACCATGTGCCTGGAAAGCCTAAAATATTTATTATCTAGCTCTTTACAGAAAAAATTTGCCACCTCTGAGGCACATGATTAACAATTGATCTGCCGATGTTCAGTGGCTTAAATCAATTGGTTTATGTTAACAGGTTTCTATTCTGCAGTGTCAGATTACCTACAGTTTTTATATTCGTGGAGCAGAATCAACAGTTGACATCTCATTAGTACCGTGAAGAATAAACTTATATCCAGTCTGTAAAACCATGACTCTGCTTTGTGGTTACCTTGGTGATGTATATAGGGATAGTCTATCAATTGTGGTCATTCAGATCAGCAATCAGTCAAAACTATGAGTACATTATTTGGAGTTACTTCTTTTTAGTTGTCTGAAGTGTCAGAATCAATTTAGCATAAAACTGGTTGTGGGCATAGGAAGCTTATAGGATTGGAGCAGTTTTTTTTTTTTCACTTTTCTGAAGTACATATGGACTTTATTGATTTAGGCACGAATCTAAGCTTAAGGTACAGCAGTCTGTATAATCAATCCTCTTAATGGGATGAGTTGACAGGTTTCCCTTTGTGATAAGTCCTGTAATGGCATTGCATGACCTGTCCGACTTTGCTACTTGGAGGGAAGTAATGGCCAGATGCAGTACATCCTGACAGCTTTAATTCCTTCTAAATTAAATGTCTGGAGGCTTCAGGGTGTTGCAGTTAATATCTGTGGACTAATGAGTTTTGTTGTAGCACTTTAAGGTAATGAGTTATACAGACTCCTCTAAGTACAGTACTTAAACTAGGCATCTTGACAGAATAACACTAGTAGTTAGAGGAGGTCTTCAAATTTGCAGGAAGCAAAATCTAAGTAAAAGATTTATAATTGTCAGACTTGATCTAGGAACAAATAAAATGGAAACTAAACTGTAGTGCATGCTTCTCCTGCATTCTGCCCTCCGTAGAATGAAACTATTGTGCAGATGCTGATGACCAGCTTTGAGCCTGTTCACCTTGCTCTCCAGTTGCCATTCCCTGGCATCCTGTTACTTGTCCTATCAGCAGCCTTTGAACCAGCTAATTATTGTTTTCTCCTTGATAAACTTTCTTTACTTGGCTTTCAGGAAGCTATCCTTTCTTCATTTTCTTCCCTGCTCAGTGACTACTCTTCATAGTCTCTTTGCTGGTTCCTCCTCATCTCCCTGACTTTCTGATGTTGGAGCAGCCCAGGGTTGGCTAACTACACTCACTCCCTTGGGGATCTCATTCACTGTCATGGCTTTAAATACCATCTATATGTTGATGACTCAAAATTATATCTTCCCTGAATTCTTAAGAGTTGGCTTGGCCAGAAGATAGAAAAATAAACACAGCCAGTGAATATCGGAACGGTGGTCAATCACACTCATATTTCAAGAAATGCAAATCCAAACTATAGTAGGATGCCATTTTCACCTGTGGGATAAGCAACAGTTAAATGTTTGACAGCCAGAGCTGGTGACCATGTAGGAAAACAGGCCCTTATATACTGGTTGTGGGAATGTAAATGCAACCTCCTTTGAGAATAACTTGGCAGTGTCTGCTCATTCCCACTGCAAGGAATTTACCCTTGGAAATACTTTCAAAACTTTCACAAGATACAAATACTAGAGTGTTCCCTGCAGCACTATAAATGCAAAAGTGTGGAAACAACCCTTGGGGAACTCTAGGGACCGTAGAATAAAACTTGATATATCTGTAGGATGGAATACTGTACAGACTCAAAAATGTAAACAATGGGGTTTCTTCTGTGTATTGGGGATCACAGGATTCATGATTTATAAAAACTGCTATCCAAAGTTTTCTTTGGGCAGTTTCCCCAGAAATAGGATGAAAAAGAATGTTTTTCCCCCCTCATTTTCCTTCTCCTTATCAACCAGGAGTGGGTGTGGGTGAATAAAATATGGAGACCCCTGTTTCCTTAATCTCTGGTCTAGTCACAGCCATTCTTATGACACAGCTTCGGTACTCTACTCTCTCCTCCTCCAAGAAGTATTCTTTGCCCATTCCAGGATCCCAAGCATACTTTATTTATTTATTTATTTATTTTTGATGAGTACATTGGGATTTATTGTACAAGAATTCTCTATTTTTGGATATGTTTGCAATTTTCCATAACAAAAAGTGAAGAAACAAAACCAAAAAGCAAAAAAATAAAAATAATACCTAATATTTTGAATTAATTACTATTATTGAACACGTTATATTCCAGGCTCTGTGCTAACCGTTTTACATGTATTATTAACTCATCTAATCTTCACAGCAACTCTAAGAAATAGGTACTATTATTATCCCCATTTTAGAGATGAGAAACGTTTTACAGATGAAAAACGATAAAGAAGTTAAATAAACTGCCAAGATCACAGAACTCAAAAGGGGCAGAACCAGTACCTGAACCCAAGCAGGCTGGCTCCAGAGCCTATTCTCCTTAAGTACTATGCAAGTTACTTATTATACAACACCAAGCATACTGTATTTCTCAAATAATCAGTCCCATAAAGTGCTTGGGATCTCAACAATATGCAATCAATATATTTTTATGGCATATTTTTGAGAGCAGAATCTATTCACTTTTTTCCCACACCACAGATCTGTTGTTGAAATCAGAAGTGAAAATAAGAAGACACTGACTGGCTGATAAATAGGCCAGGACACGCTTAGGTTAATACCAATCTGACAACAGTATTACCAAAGTATTATCAGCATACTAACAATCATTACCCGGGCGTTATATATATACTTACCCAGGGTTTATATATATTCAGAATTGTACAACCCTCCCTTCCCCAAACTTCAGATATCTTACTAAATCATCCAGGGGACAATGCCAGAAGTATAAGAAAGTATATGTCTTTCTCATAGTAAATATAATATCATCATCTTAAAACCCTGTATTTGTACTACTGAAGCTGCTATTCATTTTATTCTTCAGATTAATTCTTATTCTTTTTTCTTTTTTTAAATTCGTATTAATTTAGGGGGTACAACTGCAGTTTTGATACATGGATATGTTGTATATCAGTGAAAAATGGGCTTTTAATGTAACCATCACCTGAATAGTGTACATTGTACACATTAAGTAATTTCTCATCCCTCTTGCCCCTTCTGAGTGTCCAATGTCTATTTTTCCACATTGTATGTCCATGTGTACACATTATTTAGCTCCCATTTATAAGTGAGAATGTGCAGTATTTGACTATCTCAGTTATTTCACTTAAAACAATGGCTTCCAGTTCCACCCATGTTCCTGCAAAAGACATGACTTCATTCTTTTTATTGGCTAAGTAATATTCTGTGGTTTATATATACCACATTTTCTTTATGTCATTATCTGTTGATGGACACTTAAACTGATTCAATAGCTTTACTATTGTGAGTAGTGCTGTGATAAATATACAAGTGCAGGTATCTTTTAGATATAATGATTGCTTTTTTGGCGAGGGGGTAGACACTCACTAGTGGGATTGCTGGATCAAATGGTAGATGTATTTTTAGTTCTTTGAGAAATCTCCATACTGTTTTCCATAGAGGTTGTATTAATTTACATTCCCACCAACAGAGTATGAGTGTTCCCTTTTCTCTATGCATCTGTTATTTTTTGAGTTTTTTTTTTTTTTTTTTTTTTTTGAGACAGAGTCTCATTCTGTTGCCCGGGCTAGAGTGAGTGCCG